GCAGATTTTCACTGTACCCAGTAATTGTGTCTAGCCTTTACTCTTCAGTATTTTCTTGCTGAAAGATACTGCTGAGGTATTGTGCAGGTGTATACCTAAAAACTCAGATATTTATAAAGTATTTATATTGGTTTGAAGATCCTATAAATCATCATGGGGAAAAGATGTATCAAAATAAATGGAAGTCACTTCAGAAACAAACAAGTCCATTTCAGTTAAATTGTTTAAAGCAAAAAAAAAAAAAAAAATAGAAAGAAAGAAAGAAAGAAAGAAAGATGCCAAAATACCTATTCAAATTATTTTCCAACTATTATAATTGTTATTTCCTAAATCTCAGACCTATTAGTTCTCATCTTATTTCTTACCAATGTCCAACCCAGGGCTGAAGGTATAGCTCAGCAGTGCAGTACCTGCCTGGCAAGTGCAAGTTTCTGAATTTGATTTCTGGTACCAAAACCAAAACAAAAATATCCAATCTGGACAGCCTCTCTCATTTGCCCAAGTGCAGTGGATACTCACCTCGTCTCCTGGCCTCCATCCATTTTGCTGCCTCTAATTCATTCTCCATACTGTGTCTGAAGTAATAATTTTTGAAATATAAATTTCATCTTTCCTACGTGCAAGAATTAAAAGTCACATTGTCACAGAGAGTGACATGTAACAAACAACTTCAAAGTCTGAATGTCCCCTGAGCATTAGATTTTGTACTTGGGGGTCTATGAGCTGGTGAGGGTAGCTCTACCTCAGGAGACCTGGCTCTGGCCTTGGGTCGAGTTCTGGTCTCTTCCGGATGCCTTCACGTTCTCCTGGCTTGGCAGCTGCCTTAAGGGGTTCACTAGGCCAAGGCAATGGTTAGTATTGTCTGCTAACCCTTCCTTTAGTTTGCAGAAGTCTCGTGGCCAAGGCCAACACCACACGAGGAAACATACCGCACAGCAACAGTGCTGAGCGCGGGGTAGAGTTGAGAACCTTACCGTCAAGCGGCAGTACTTTCTGTTCTTACAGAGATAGCTATTTTTTTTTTGTTTTCCCTCCCTTTATGTTGCTAATTTTAAATTATTTTTAATTCTCTTATTTGACTGAATTCTCACATTGTATTAAACTCCAAAGAGGAATATATGTAAAAGAATATGAACAGTCGAATTTGATAATATACAACTCTAAGTTCTGTGATTCGGAGCAATTTAATTTTGTGTGTTTCTATATCCAAATGAGAGTATTTCTAAATGTATCTCTTGGAACTCTAGGAGCATGGAGGCAATAACCTGTTAGCCAAAAAATAAGGTGTTGAACTATTCTTAGGTCCCCTTTATTCATTTTCAAGGTGACAATATGGTTAACTTTGGCATTTGCTGCCTGTATCTCTCAACTAGGTGAAGAAGAGATTTAACAGAATGGTTGAGTAACAGCCTCTCTCTTTGTTTGTTTTGTTTTGCTCTGTTGTAGGACATAATGATTATATTTGTCCTGCTACGAATCAGTGTACCATAGATAAGAACCGGCGTAAAAGCTGCCAGGCCTGCCGACTTCGAAAGTGCTACGAAGTAGGAATGGTGAAGTGTGGTGAGTGTTTGCTCTGCTGTATAGGGCCTGCCGAGAGCTGTGTAACTTGGGTGAGGGGAGATTTAGGATGTGGCTGTTGTCTTCAAGTGTCTGTATGCGGTCACATTGCATTGAGTTACTTCCTGTGGCCGCAGCTGACAGAGGTGGGGTGAGTAGGAGCGAGCCACTGGAGGCCGACTTCTGTCGGTGCAGGCGAGACATTCATTCAGTTCAAGTTGTCTAGCAAACGCATAGGGGACAGCCATCCTGCCTGGGACCTAGAAAGGTCCCGTGTGAGGATGAAATCCTGTTCCACAGTGTAAATGTCCGTGATTAAAGCTCATGAGTAGGATAGCTTGTGGGTTGCTTGGCTAGAAATGGGAAAGACTTTGATGCCCTCTTCTGCTACTAGCCTTCTACAAATGGAAAAAGTATGAGTCAGAGACGTGGTAGAACTGTGAAGAGTACAGAGCACATAGACTTTGCTCTCGTATAGTATATGTTTCATATCCACGTGTATTTGACACATAAGATACACACGTACATACCATATATTTTATACATAAACATACATATAGGGAAACACTGGCCCTTTAGTATAAGAATGGACAGAGGTATCCACATCTTGCCCTTTCTCCTTGGTTAGTTTTTGGTTCATTTGTCTGTTTATACCTTCACAGGGGCTCTCTGCCTGTGCTTTCCTTCCACTAGCCAATATTTTGTTTTTGATTAATGATAGCTTCTTTGTAACCTTTAGAAAAATTTCAAGCCCGCTTTTTCTCCCTTACCATCTCTTAGTAGCTCTGCTGTTTAAACATTCTTGAGCCCTTTGTCTCTGTGTAGGACAGATGAGAACTTTTACCTACTTCAGGAGCCCAGTTGAAGTTCTCTTAATGTGCTGGTGTCATGACCATTCTCTTTTTCTCTGTGGAACATCCTGCCTGCTACATTTGGGATCCTGAGTGCTCCCCAGAGGTCAGGAGCTCGAGGCCTGCTCCTGGAGTGGTGCTGTTGGGGTGATGGAGCTTCAGGACATGGGGCTGAGCGGGAAGTCTTAGGTCCTTAGGGGTGTGCCTTAGGAGGAGCTTTAGAATGTTGTTTTCTTCTTTTTTACTTCCTGCCATGAGGTGAGAAGTTTTGCTCTCTACCCCTGCCATGTGCTCCGCAACATAGGTGCTTGTGCAGAGGCCTGAAAGGAGTGGCTCTCCCTGGTCATGCGCTGTGACCGCTGAAACTCTGAGCCAAAATAACCTTTTTTTCCTCTATGAGGTAACTGTCTTAGGTATTTGTTACAGTGACAGCAGGCTGACCAATATACTGCAGATGCCTGTGACCTCACAGTGTGTATTGAGTACTCTCTAGAACACTTGAGTATTTCTGCCCTCACCACTTCAGTTAAATCCTGAATGTAATCCAGTAGGTTTTCCCCCATACCTTTTTGTGATTATTGCAATTATTATATTATATAATTTAATTTGAGTTTCTGTAAACACATGAAATGTTATTATAAAATACAGCTATTTTCATGAAAGCTTAGTTGGAAGTTCTGAATAAAACTCTAAAGGACTAATAGCTGTTGAGTTAGGTATGGGTGAGATTGAGGGGGAAATTGTAAAGATGATTGTATGTGTGCTTTTGAAAAACGATTTCCAGTTTTGTGTGAGGGTGAGGGTGCGTGTGTTTGTACTTGGATCTACATACTGTTTGCACAGCTGTGGTCCTTGCAGGGCAGCACTCATGGGAGGAAGGTGCTGAGAGTTGGATTCTTGTAGACGCATCTTGTTTTTTTGTTCACTTTTTGCTAAGTGACTGTGGTCAAACTACTGAAGCTCTCTGGCTCTTGCTTTCTTACATCCAAAACAGCTTTCTGCTCCATTGGACTTTATGAGGAATAAAAATGAAGAACTATCAAAGACTAGACACAGTGTCCCTGTCTCCATCTTAGTTTTTTTTCTTTCTCTCCCTTGTAGAAGAGCTCACATGAGTTATGACTTTGATAAAATGCATCTTCACAAGAGAAGAGAGTTAAACAGTCTCTAAGGGCAAAGGAACTAAGGCAAAGGGTTGAATCTCACCAGAGTCACTGGGTAGGCTCTCTTAGGAAAAGTAGTGCATTCCCCTTGGAGTTACAGGAGACATGATATGAGTTGATTTATGTACAGTTAAATACTTAGCCCTTTGGTGACCACAGTGAAAGACCATTAGATCTTTTTTTTTTTTAATTAGTTGCTTTTTTTATTATTATTTATTTATTTTTATTTATTACATTTATTTATTGTGTGTGTGTGGCCAGCTCAGCCCACCAGGGGGCGCGGCTGGCTGGCATGTGGTGCTGGGGATTGAACCGTGGTCCCTGTGCTTTGCCAAGCTTGTTTCAAGTAGGTGCTTTAGACCACTGAGCCATCTCTCCAGCCCCAGACCATTAGATTTTACTGTTGTTCTCCTCCCTTCCACTTTCTTTGTCTACCCTCCCCTAAAACCTATCCACATTCTTCTTTCTGTTCGGTTTGGGCGTGTAAAGGATTTTTGCCTGCATTCTGGATACTCCTGCAACCCTCTTTATTCACAAATTATGTCTCTTTTGTTATTTTTTCTTCTGTATTTCTGTGTATAGATGGAAGATATTCGGATAATTGTATTGCCAATCTCTGTTGGTCATTTTTTAAAATTCTTTTTGATACTGGGGATTGAACTCAGGACCTTGTACTTGCCAGGCAGGTGCTTAAGTCGCTGAGCTATCTCCCTGGCCCTCTTCTATATTTCTGATCCTCTCTTTTCTGCTGAAGTATTGATGTGGTTGCTTAAATGGTATGAGGACCATATAAAGATACTCTTTAGTGTGCATAGCCAAGAAAACAGTTGGACTAGCCCCATGTTTGGTCTCTATCCCTGGGTTGGTGTCTTGGTTACTTTTCACTCATTGTAGAGACAAAATATCCAACACCCAAAATTAGGGAAGGAAAGGTTTATTTGGTTCACAGTTTGTGGAGGTTTCAGTCCAATCTCAGTTGGCTCCCAGCCAGACTGGCACATGACAGAGGGCAGCAGTTTATGGCAGCAGAAAACAGCAAAATACCAGGAGCAAATGGGACGAGTAGTGACAGCAATGGCAACAGAGAGCAAGTCTGTCTCCCTTATGTTGCATTCAGGCTGTATGCCCCAGGCAGGGTGTAGCACTCACATCCATAATCCCAGCAGCACTCACCCCCATAATCCCAGCACTGGATTGTGAAATTAATTAATCCAGAAGTCTACTCTATAACTGCATGAGGCTTGTGGGGGACATTTAGACAGAAACTGTAATGTTCTGCCCCTGAACCCCCCAAGATTCATATACATTCCTTTATGTAAAAGGCATTTCAATCAATTTCTAAGAGTTGCCAAAATCCTAACAGTTTCAGCATTACTGAAAAGTCTAAGTCCCAGTTTCCTCTGAGATCTAAGGCAAACTTTTAGCTGTGGGCCCCTGTACAAATGAAAAGGAAGTTAAACACTTCCAACATTCAACAGCACAAGAAAAACATAACCATTCCAAAAGGTACAAAGAAGGGGAGAGAAAACATTGGGACCAATGGAAATCCAAAATCCAGAAGGGTGAACATTTTAAGTCCTGTAGTTCCATGTGAAACATCTGAAGCAATCTGTGGCAAATTGCAGCTCTGCCCTTATGGCACTCTTTGGTGGTAGCTCCCGTGGCTTCTCTTTTAGGCCGGCCTTGCTCCCTTGCAGTTTCCTTTAGATGATCCAAGTTCCTGGATTTTGCAAACTTCTGAGGTTTCCACTGCACATTAAGTTTCTCACTCTCTGCTACACACACTGCCCTCTCAGGGGCACACTGCCTGGCCTCCCAGGCCTTCTACAATTGAGGTGGAAGCCTTTTTAACCTCAGAACTCCTGCATTCTGCCTGTGCCTGAAAGCAGCACCACGGTCTGCTGCCAGCTGGAGCAGTAGCCAGGCTTTCTACTCTTGGCTGTAGGGGCTGAGTGCCTGGATCTCTGAGCACTCTGAACCTGCTTCTGAGGAACAGATTCTCCATGCCAGCGCCATTCTGGAACCTGGTGTGGCCGCTGCTGCCATTCTGGAGCATGGGGCTCTGCGGCTTTCTTCCCAACACAAAGTCCCACACCTTTGCAGTGCTGAGGCTGCAAAGGGAGGGTGGAGACCTTCTGCCTCCAGTGATGCCCTCAGGCCATCCTCTCCATTCTCTTGTTCCCTCCTGGCAGTGGAGAGCCTCTCAGCTCTGTTTTTATAGTTCATAGCTTTATTGGCACTTCCTTTCTGACCAAACTCACATTTTAGATCATCCTTCTGGGCTCTTTGCTCTTGATTCTCAACATAAATCTGACTAAAAGTCCCCCTACAATAGCCATGCCACTGCCTCAACATTTGACTGCCTTGAAATTTCTTTTGCCAGATTAATCAGTCTGTGGTGCTTAATCTCAGCCTCAGGCAAAGTCTCTGGACAGAAGCAAAATGCAGACAAACTTTCTAACATGCCATAACACAAATTATTTGGAGTCTAACAATCAGTGCAGTCCTTCTTCCCAGCGGAAACCTCTCCATTCTGGTCTTTACAGGCACGATTTCTATCAGCATTCTGGTCTTTTGAGCTCTGACCAGAATCTCCCACACAGTACAGCCAAAGCTGTTGCAGTGTTTCTCCTGTAGGCGACATCTCCGAACCCTTCCTGTCTCTTCCCATAAGCCATTCCCAAAGGTTTGTAACCCACATGGTCAGATTTAGTCACAGCAGTGACCCTATTCCTTGGTACCAAATTCTGTCTTGATTGCTTTTCTGTTGTTGCTGGGACAAAATACCTGACACCCAAAATGAAGAAAGGAAAGGTGTATGTAGCTCACAGTTTGTGGAGGTTTCAGTCTGTACTTGGCTGGCTCCAAGGCAGAGTGCC